CATTTTGTTATGGTGAACGGTCCTAGTACATTCTCAAATCTTAGATATATCAACCTCACACATCTTGGATTTTCCTCATCATATTATGTTAGCTGTGCATGAAATTTTCCAAGTATACTAATTTATGACAGAATCGAGATTTTTCCAACTTGCTCATACGCCTATATTTATGTGTCAGAACTTGAATTCACTATCATATTTCTTTAATCCCTCTTTCTTTTGTAACTCCTCTTCGTCCATTGTTCTTCTGTCTTTCGTCATAGTCAGACTTGTACCAATAAAGCCTAGTTAAGCACAAACACGTAACCTTGTAACATTGAATTAAAATAGAAAATCTAGACTTTCATTTTCCGATCTAAGAGACATGTGTATCACCAGTGCACAGAGCGAAATGGAGGTGTTCGCACCTTATAATCACATCAACTGTTAAACTCTGTTGCATTACAGAAGACTGCACACACTGTGTATTTCACTATTGTTCAACAATAATGTTTTAGTCACATAAAATATTGAAAACCTATCGCATCAAAGCTATTCTACATACTAACATACTCAAAACATTTTCCGACATGTTAAACAGTATACGAGGTTTCATAGGTTCTCTGTAAATCTCAACCCTACTATTATACTGTGTGCCTTATATGAGGGACCTCAGAGTTTCCTCTTCAGAACTAAACATCATTGCCTCTAACTTCCATCATCAATTTGCAAAAGGTTTCTAAAGTTTCTATCATGAGTAGTGAATTGCGAAGTAGGCCTGGTACATTTTTGAGTTAAGAAATTATTCTATATATTTTCATATTTATTATCCCTTTTTTGGCTTAGAGTCAATAGATCGACTCTGATGACAGTGCAAATGTGGAAGGCCATTTTTTTCCGATCGCATAATTATTTTCGCGAACTTTAATAAAAGTAGTCATATTTCGGCAGATCCTAAATTTCGATAACATCAAAATGATGCTTGAGCCAACATCCATTTAGATCCTGTATTTATGCAAGTATGGGCTCCGAGACAATTTTGTAAATGAAAAAGATACAACCGAAAAAATTTGTTTTCTATTTCCTTAGTTTTAATACATAAATATAAGGATATACTGATATTACTAATTTCTCAATATCATCGACTCTGGTTTTACATATATTTAAAAAATCATACAAATTAGCAAAAGAGGCGCTTTTTTTTCTAGAAACGAAATTGGAGCGTGAAGCAATAAAAATGTTTTAACAAAGACTGAGCCAGGGACCAGAAAATGTTGGTCCCTTAGTTCCCCAATGATGAGTCTTCATGGTTAGAACCTGAGATTTTGTATAACTAAAAAAGTTTCTCATCACCTTTCTACACTGACGTCAATTCCAAAGAGATCAGTAAATAGATTAAAATGCATAAAATTTAATTCTCAACCATATTCATTTAGTTCAGACTTAGATGAATGCCGTTTTTTTGCTCCCCGTCATGTCTATTATTACCATTTCTCATCTAGAATATTCTTTATTATCATACTAATTTTTAGTGATATATAAATTTGGAAGAATAAACTAGACGAATGGCTGATGAAATTCAAAGAATTAAGAGAGATATAGCTTTAAATGATGCATTGATATTTATTGGTTCAGATGTATCTAATTATACAACAAATGGTGAACAAGAAGTTTCACATTGGAAAGGATTATTAAAAGATGGACTTCAACGATGTCACCAATCAGGATTGATTATTGACGAGGACTTTGAGTATTTCAATAAAAAGTTCGAGAGTAACACAGCAGAAGCTGATGATTATTTGCTTGCTGCCGATCTAATTAAGTGTTTTTTCACAATGGAAAGTGATGCTTATCAAACATGGTTAAAAGAAACCGTAGGAAAATTATTAGCAAAAAAAACAGAACTAATTAAATCTATAGGAGAATTAGAATGTCCTATTTTAACAACTAACTATGATTCACTTCTTGAAGATATACTCAATAAAAAACCTCTAACTTGGAATAAATATTCCAGTGATGATCTTGACAATTCCTTAGAAAATCTGAAAAATTATATTCTACATGTATATGGATATTTTGAAGAACCAGATAGTGTCATTTTTAGTAGTGTTGATTATAATCAGAGTCATGAAAATGAATTTGAACAATCAAACTTAGGAGTACTTATGAAAAGAAAAACATTGTTATTTATTGGATATGGAACTGGAATGTTTGATCTAAATTTTTCGAATTTATTAAAATGGATCTTTCGCATTACAGGTAAACAATCATTGTCAATGTATAAACTTATTACATCAACTACCAATAAAACATTTAATCAAACAACAAATGTTTCATTTTTTGAGAATGTCAAAGAAATTCAATATGGGAGTAATTCAAAAGATTTATTACAATTTATAAAAAGTCTCAAATCATTTAAACCACTGGTATATGAAAGTTTATCATTGACGGAAAAAAGAGAAAGCATTCGCAAAAAATATTTAAATTATCTTATAGATGAGTATGGTCACGTATCAATTTTTGGATATTCTAATAGCAATATTAGTTTACCTTTGCAAAGTGTTTATGTCGAATTAAAATTTGATCCAACACATCCATCGATTAAAGCGATGAAAATGCTCGAAATCAATGAAGAATTTAAACGTAAACTTTTATCTCCTGTTTTTTTTAATCAGAATGAAACAAGAAAACTAACTATAGCTTTGATGGAAAGAAATGAATATAATTCAGAAATAATTTATAAAGATTTTATGATTGATCAATGGTTAAATATTTTGTTAAGTAACAAAAATATATTTTCTGAAAATGAAGCAACTACTATTAAAAACAAGGTGAGACGGTTAAAAAATGATATTTTGGCAAAAAATAGCCTTAATGAAGCAAAACAATATCAAATTCAACAAGCATATAATGAATTTAAACATTTTATAATTCTTGGTCATCCTGGTTCAGGTAAAACTACTTTATCGAAATGGTTAGTAATGAACATGGCTAAACAATGCTTAGGTGAGAAAAACATGTTATCTGATGATATGTGTTATATCAAAGAGAAGATACCCATTTTTATTCCAATATGGAAATACGTTGATCAATTAAAAGAAAATCAAAATAAACAAAAAAAAACTTTACTTCAATTTATCTACGAAAATTCCACATTCAATTCAACATTTTTCAACGATGAAGAGCGAAACGAATTATCATCTTTCATTATGGAATCATTAATACAAGGAAATGTTTTAACTATCTTTGAAGGATTAGATGAAGTTCCTGCTCATGTAGATCGATCTGATTTAATGAAAGAAATAAATATATTATTAGAACGAGGAATAGATTATGATGTAACACATAATAAACTTACCTATTCAATTTATGAACAAAAGGAAATCAATAATACTAAAGATCCTACTATTGGTAATCGATTTATTGTAACAAGTCGTATCGAAGGAAATTATTTTGAAGAAATCAATTTTTATATTCCAAGATTAACTATTGAAGGTATGTCTAATGATGCTCTCAAACAATTTTGTCGTTCATATATGGAATGTATCGAAGATATTTCACTTAAAACAGGAAAAATTATCAAACAATATGAAACTGATCAATTATATAATAATATTACAAAAAATAAAGATATTTTTCAATTAGCAATTAATCCACAATTAGCTAGTGTAATTGTTGCAGTTTATAATCAATATGAAGATAAATTACCAGAGAAAAGAATTGATTTATATGAAATAGCGATTGAGCAGATGATAGAACGATTAGTCACATCTGATATTAATACTTCAACACATTATGTAAGTAAAGAACTTGAATTAAATACTATTATAATATGGTCAATAATGCAAGAAATAGCTGAATATCTACATAATAAAGTTGAAGGATTATCAGAAAATATTTTAAAAGAAATTATAAGAAAATGTTTAATCGATTATCAAAAACATTCATCGAAAATTTTTAAAGTAAATATTGATGATTTAATTTCAAAACTTGTAGATATTTTTAAATATCAAGCTGGTTTGCTTAATGAATTTGGTCATAATAGTTTTCGATTTATACATCGTACATTTCAAGAATATCTTGCAGCTAAAAATATTATCTATTATTATGGAACTGAACGATCTGAAAATATGATTTATGAAAATATTAAAAATAAAATCGGTATTCCCAATTGGAGAGTTCCACTTAGTATGACTTTTGGAATATTAAGTAAATTAAGTGTATTATTCAATAATACTGTTACAAGATTGTTAAAAACTGAACAAACTTCATCGAATACACAATCTTCTATTGTTCTAGTACCATTTGTTATTATTGATTCACTAAATGATATGTACTTTTCATCAAATCAAACAGAATATGAATTAATTCGAAAACTATCAGATATGTTATTATTTGATTATAAAAATACATCTGGTTTTTCGAGATTAATAGCACATCAAAAATTAATTCATTCATATTTCTTGAAATTGAAAATAAAATATGACAATACAATTGCAGTATGGTTGATTGAAAAGATAAATAGCGAAGAAAATCTTGCACCATGCGCCAATATTATCTATCAACTTAAATGGTATAATCCGAATTTTCATGAAATATTTCTAAGAAATTTACACAATGATTCTGATATTTGGAATTGGCCAATCGATTCAGTTTTAAGGTTCTATTCAAATGAAATTAAAAATGAAGCAATTCTAACACAATTGAAATTCAAAGATACAATGAAGAAAAATCCAAAAATTATCAAACAGATCATGAACAGCAGCGATTGGTTAAGCTTAATAACTGCTCTTTATGGAGGATATAAAAATTATAATACTCAAACAACTATTTCAGAATATTATGAACTCTGTCAGTTTCTTGGGCTAAGTGATAAGGAGAGAGTACCATTTATCTTTTATTATCGAAATGTATGGGATAGAGATCGCACAGCATACCAAATGGCAGTACGTGCGGATAAACTACAGAGTGAAAAGCATTGGGATGATAAACCAATATTTGATATGAATGAAATCTATAAAGAATCATGTTTGACAAACAAAATCCTTCAATGCCTCCTTGAAGAAAAACCTACAACAGATTTAATTGAAGAATTGCGAAAACAAGTGAACAATCAAAAATTAAATATCAATGAAAAAACGGAAACATTAATTGCGTTAGTTTCTTTAGGAGATTTCGATTTTACAAATGATATTATGAAAAATGAACAGAACATATTTAGAAACAGTTTTGGAAATCGAATAGAACAACTTATTTCTATTTTAAAAGATCCAGTTGCAAGATGGTCCTCACATATTGCGAAATATTTACTTGAAATTTATAATAACATAAAAATGAATCAATTGAAGTTCAATCTTAACTTTTCTGATTATTGCAAAATATATTTATCATTAATAGCTCATAGTGGAGGATTACCAGTTGACACTGAAACATTAGCTAAAGCTGCAGATAATATTGAAGATAAATATTGTTTATATGCAGAATATTTTGCCTTTAAACTCACGGGTGCTGCCGACGATTTCCGATATAAAGTCGCTGTATTATTGGACACATCCATTGCTTCAAGCAAAATTGATCAAATTATAAAACCATTTTTAAAAGTTAATGAGGCAGTTCAAGTTTATAGACCAATTCGAGCATATATATGGCCTACAGACATATTTATTTTTAAACCAAATAATGAGGATGATATACCCATAGCATTCTTTAACTGTTTAGAGAATAGCAATCCAAATGTGCCGTATTTAGTAGATGCAGTTTCTCAAGTCTTTTTCAAGGAAGGATATTTTAATAAAAATCCCGATTTGATTCCATTAGTTACATTGTTACACTTTGGAATTATGTCAAAAGATTTAGATAGGTTTAAGATCTACAAGAATTTGTTACCTGAATTAATTGATAATCCAAATATGAAAGAATTTTTATTGAACAAAATTCAATCAATATGTAATCCTTACTATAAATCGAGAGCATTATATCAATTAGCTGAATTTTATGACGAAAAATGTTTTGAGCTATTAAATGAATCTTTTATATTAACAAAAAATATTGCAGAACCAACTTTAAAGTTTCAAGTTTTGGAAAAGATTTTTAGCATTGTTCATTACAAAGAAGTTCAAAAAAAATCATTCATTGAAAAAATTCTCAGCGAACTAATTTTATCATATGAAAGTATTGACAAGAATTATGATCGAATTATTGCATCAATAAGATTATCATTCTATGGATCAGGAGATTTTCGAAAAAAGTATCTTACGAATGCAATTGAAGCGCTGACCAAAATGGATGATGATGATGATGATGATAAAATCAAATTAATTATTAAACTAAAATCATTAATTACTATTTACGATGATCTCCAAATCGACCTGAACGTAATCATTGACAATCTGAAAAATAAAACACATAATTATTTGGTTAATTCTTACTATGGTAGAATGCTCTTTACTGAAAAATTCAAAAATGATTCAGATAATATTGAAATACAAGCTCTATTTATGCTCTTTGCACAATTGAATGATATTAAATTATCACTTAGAACAACGGAAGATTTGAATCAGCTATGGATAAATCTTTATAAAGATCCTGATAATCAATCAAATATTGAAAAGATATTAAATATTGGTTTATATGATGAAATACTTTTAACGCCACAAATAGCAATTATTATCGATGAGTTGATAGAAAAAGGAAAAGAAGATAGAATCTCAATTCTTTTCCCATATATCATCAAACCATCAAATGAAGTATTACCAATTGTTCATCGATGGTTTAGTAACAATAAAGTTAACAAGTTATCAGCTCTTTTACTTGCAGAATCAAAGCATATTTTTGAATCAGCAATTGACACAATAGTTGATTTACTAAAAGGTGATAATGATCAAATGAGATATAGAGTTCAACGAATTATTCAACATCCCGAAAGAGATCCTAAAGAACCTAGTAAGAGAATATCTGTGATAGGAGAGAAAACATTGATAAAAATTTTTGAAAATATATCGTCAAAAGAGCAATCTCTACAAGTTCGAACTTATTTTGGTAGCTTTTTCTACGACTTACTATGGGATGATCCTTCAGTTTTTCGAAACTTCTATGAAAATATAAATCAATTGAAAGAAAGCAACTGTGACAGTGGAAAATGTTTGAGGTTTTTCAGTAGAATTCATTTCATAAGTAATCATACTTGGGATTCAATAATGAGAATATTAGAATCATCGATGAATCCATCGTTTGTGGAAGAACTACTTCATTCAATAATGCTCTTAGCACAACATGATCAAATTACATCAGACAATTGGATAGAATTTGCAAGCATGCTATCAATTACAGAGACGAGCCAATTTAAAGAAAAATTATTCTTCTTATATACAGATATTGAAAGAATAGAATTTATCATTGGTAACGTTTATACATTAACAAATATTAATGATGAAACATATTTTGAAATTCTTGAATCAAAATTAATTAGCGAAATATCCATCAAAGTTGAAAATCTCTCACAAATTGGTTATAATCAAATAAAACATATAGGAAGCTGTAATTTCTATGTATCAGGTGACTCCAATCAAACGATATTAAATAGATTGAATAACATTTCAATAAGCATTGTTCTAATGGAAAATCTAATCAAGTGGTTAATGCGAAAAATGGCAAGTTTTAAAGGCTTTGATGATACGATATTTTCATTGGTCTTATCTGAAAATTTATTATCATTAGTCTCAGCATGTGCTCAAAAAGAAGATTATTTCTACCGAAAAATAACAAATTCTCCAAATTTTAATAAAATTCAAATGATCAAACTTTTAGAAAAAATGCTTAATCATCATCCATGTTTTCCAGCAAGAGGTAACGCTTTTATATTACTTTCAGCAATTGACCAGTCTGATCATAAAGTAATCATAAATGCCATGAACACGTTATTAGATGAAAATGTTGTGAAAGAATTTTCTCAAATTGGAATTCCTCTCATAAATTTATCACCAAATTATTTTCTCGATGATTTATTAGAATCGTTAAAAAATGAAAGTGCCATCAAAGCTTATGAAATATTGAAAATATTTACAGAGTTTGCTTTAAATGAAAAAATAGATACTCAAGGTAAATCAAAGATAATAAATTATTTAGCAAGTGAAATTGTACAAATAAAATCAAAGAAACCTGTTAACTATTTCTATACAGATATAAAAATTCCTTTCACAACAACATTGGAAAATGAATTATATAAAGCATGGATTAAAATACAAGGGCTTTCTGGTAAAACACAATATTCTATTAAAATTGAAGAACCAAAAGATTAATATGAATTCAACTTCAAATGGTGATCTATCTTCAAAACTCGATACTGTTATGTTTTCTAGGAATTTTCATTCTTATTATAAACATTGAGTATGTTTCTTATACTGCAAAAGTCATTCTTCATTATAATATTAGATAATCATGAAAATTATATTTCAAATATTTTATATAACATAGGCTTATTCATTATATTTATTAAGTAAATTAACATTTACCTTTTATATCGTTCTTCGTAGATAACGTTAGAAATGGATTGCTGTATTTCGGAAAAATAGTCGCCGAAGCAGTAATCATCATCCAGAGAGTTCATCACGCAAATGAATTACAAAATAATTCAAAATTTCCATACTACATGTTTATAGAAGTATATGCATGTAATTATAAGAAGTTTATTGTCATATACAAAAGTCTAGCAGGACCTACCAGGACCTCCAGGATCTAC